GCTGGTGCTCGCCCTGTCCTGAGGGGCCACTGCCTGCATTTTGGCGTGGAAGCTGCATGGCAAGTCTTCTGTTGGTATCTCCTGGCCAGGAGGGTGATGCCACAGGGGCACCACAGTTCCAGGAGTCACTTGGAGGGCAGAGACAGGCTGAGGGCAGAGTCCCAGGGCAGGGATCTGTGTCACTGCACCACATTGCCACCACTGGGGTGCTGGCCCACCTCTGGCCATGCCACACCTTTCCACTCCCTGGTTGAGCCGGTTCCCTTTCTGTCCCTTGGATGAGTGTCACTGGCTTTATACTCAGTGGAAGGCTGTGCTCTGCTCCTGCAGGAAGAACAGCTGTGTGAAGTTCTTCAGGGGGTGTCCCTTCTCCCCCATTTATCCGTCATCAGTATTTGCTGTACGTTGCGGGCTGTCCGCCAATCCTGTTACCTATTCTGTTCGCCACTGCACGCTCTTCGGGTTGGCTCCTGCTCTCTACGACATGCCCTTCCTTGTTGGATTTTCATTTTCTTTGTTTCCCCCTCTTGTCTCCTTATCACAGGTGCTCCTGGCTCACCCCAGCTTCCTGCCCAGGCCTGCAGCCAGCCACTCTGCCAGCAGCCTGGTCCTTTTTACTTTGGACCTATTTTAGAAGGTCAGAGATAAGGCGCCACGTGAAGAGCAACCATGAACTGCAGGTGAAACTCATATTTAGTTGCATAATTATGCTCTAACTATGTTTTACAAATCAGGTTGCATAATTCTCATATTAGCCTACTCCGCCCTTGCCAATGTGCAGCTTATGGAAAGCACAGAGTGAATGGAACAGTTTATAATGAAATCAAGAACCTAACGGTGTCACTGTGCAAATCAGAAATGTTTTAAATTTCAAATTTAGGAAGTGTTTGATGAGCTTTTTTCTCTGAAACCACTGGAATACACAGGACCTATGACAGACTGCTGTGGTGGACGCAGTGGCAATGAGAAGGCTTGGGCAGGCCTGCCGCTGAGCTGGAAGTGGGTGACACTTGCTCTGGCCGTGGGTTGCAGCTGCCTTTGCCTCTGCACCAGCAGCCAGCAGGTCAGACTGGGCCTCCATGGAGAGAGAGCTCTTTCTGGCCCCCATACAAATGACTCCTATGTCTTTTTTGGGGTCATGTGTCACAAGAGGCTGGGGTGGGCATTCCTGGGCCCCCCCAGCCTCTATAACCCCATCCAGTACATAGACTATACTGGGTTAGTGACTGCCAGGGTTCCCTCTCTGTACTCTGTGGGAGCAGCTCCTTTTTCAGACATTCATGTGCTAAGGAAAGGGGCCACCCCTCCACCACCTTAGAGAAGCCTCTGGCTATGGACCAGCTGGTGGCTACCAGGCCTCTCTGGTGAGAGGCCCTAGTCATCAGCCCTTGCCCAATGGCCTGGAGTCTGGGACCCTGTGTCCAAGGAGCAAGGTGGAGTATAGCCATTCCTGCATTCCTGTCTGCAGGTCTCCAAGTGCGTACCCCTGAGTGCCCACTTGTGGGAGGCCATCCTCGCTCATGATTTGAGTTACCTCCCTGGCTGGGTGAGAGGCGCTTAGACACAGCGGTGTCAGAGCCTTCCCCACCCTGTCCCAGGTATGAGGGCTTGTCCGTGCAGAGGCGTGCCTGGCCACTGACCCGAAGACCCAATCATTGGCCCTGACCTTGGGATGCTGCCCCCTTTAACCTTCACTGGATGGGATTTTCCCTGGAATTTTTTGTTCCCCAATAAAAGCTCACTCCCTGGCGTGTGCGCTGTCTCCCTCTCTCTCTCTCGCTAGCCTCTTCTGTAAACCTCGCCACCGCATTAGGTGGCTGGAGGCGGGAGCTAGGAGAAGCCACCTCGGAGCTGGGAAATAAAGGTAAATGAGAGTCTGTCTCTTTAATTCTAAAACTCACTAACAATTTTTATGCATCGAGCTTTCTTTTATGAGGCTCGTGCGCTGGTCGCGTGGCAGACCCACTTCCCCCTGGAAAGGCCACAGGATCTTGCACAGAGCCCAGGGAGGCCCAGAGGGGTGCTCTGGGCAATATGTAGTGATGACACAGGGACCAGGCTCATTGGGAGCTCAGCAGTCACCTGATGGCTGCTATCTGCGGGGTTTCCCCAGTGTGTGAGATGCTGCCTGTCGGGACCAGCGTCCTCTGAGCAGAGGCAGGGAGCAAATATCCCTTCTTGTTGGGAAGAGCGAGGTCACTGATCAGGACCCAGACCCAGTAGCTGGGATGCACTTGCACTCTCCTGATGCACAGTCATGCTGGGCACCCCACATAGCATGCCTCACTCACCTCCACCAGCCCTCTCCTGCCTGGCCCCCATGGCCTGGGCTCTGCTGGCCAGTTCTACCTGGTCCAGCAAGGCTTGCTCCGCTCTCTGCCACCTGCTAAGCACCTGCTGATGCCAGGCACTGCCCCAGGCCCAGGCACTGTGGTACAGCACCAGGCACTTCTTGTCTGCCTGGTACCTGCCTTCTCTTGGACCGCAATGCATGCTAAGAGATGAACAGAGGGTGACTGGCATGGGCAAAGGGGCTAGTTTGGATCTTGCACATGCTCCTTAGGGGAAAACCTCACCAAGAAAGGCACTTTAGAAGGGGAGAACTGCTGACCCTAAGATGGAACCATTCCTGTCTCGCCTTACCTTGGAGCTGGAAGGTTATGAAGGTGGAAGACTCCTGCCTTCTGCCTGAGATCACTACTAAAGGACTTCCTAAAACCCCTTCTCCTTCGACACATGCCCCATTCTTTGCATGCTACGTGTGCACAGATTTCTGAAACAGTTTATCTTTAAGGTTTTCTAAGACTGTGACAACTTGGATAGGATGCTCTGGACAGAACTCAGCAGCAGCACCCCCACCAAAGAACCGATGCCAACTCCTGCCTTGGGTCTTCAAGACCAACAGTCTCCTATGCAAGATCTTAGGTAAATTTGTCCCCTTTTTTTCCAATAGAAACTTCCCCTTGCTCAGCCTCCTTGAGTACACCCACAGTGTGCCACAGCACACAGAGTTCCACTGCAATGCTCTGCTGGTCCCAACACGCCTACCAACCTTGGGAGACTTTCTGGGCACATCTGCTGGGTCACCAGGGGCGATACTGAGGGCATGAGGGAGAGGTCTGTGAGGGTCCCTGGGGAAGGGCTGGCAAGGCCGTCGTGAGGGTGAGGGCAGGGCTGAGGAGCAGAGGAGGGTGTCTTGGGGACGGGGTAACCAGAGCAGTGCTGTGGGGAGTGCTGTGAGCCCTTAGGCACTGTCTCTCAAGCTGACTCCCTCAGGGAGTCTCTCTATGCAATACCCCCATAAAAGTAGACAGCAAGAGCCCAGGGCAGCATTATCCGCCTCCCCCCCAGGATCTGCTCCAAATGTGGACCCCAGAGTGGATGGTGCGCCATGGCTTCTTGGTCATTGACATGTTGGTTCAGTGGTGGCCCTTCCTCCTCTGCTGTGGGCTTTCTGTTCCCCTGGATTCCACCCATTACTTCTGCAGCTGCACCCAGTGCCTACCCAGCACTTGCCACCATGCAGAGGGTGAGCAGGTATGTGGCCCCTGACCTGAGCAGTGCACGAGCCTCACTGCAAGATCTGAGTCTGCTGGATAAGTCAGAGGCTCTGACTTCCCTTGAAGCCCAGGGAAAGCATTTATATGTCAGCTCTAACTGTATGTGGTCAGCTGTATCAGAACCCTTCCAGTCCTACTTGGATCTCCTGTGTGTGCACCACTCTGCATGGCGTCCAGGCAAGGACCCGGTGGCATCCACACTCCGCACAGCCCCGGGTTAGGGTCTACAAAAAAGTGAGGCCCTGGGCTGCTCCACCCCTCATCATGGTTCTCGGTCTCTGATAGGCTGTTGAGCGTCAGATTTATGTAAGTAAAGCTGGGATGAGCCCAGGAGACCACTGTGACTTCTCTTGGGCTCGCTTGAGCAGGTCACTCTTCCCTGCCCCTGCTCTTCTCAGCCCCCAGATTCTTTTTCTCCCTCTTGGAGTCAGAATGCTCTAGGTTTCTCTATTCTGCTCACCTTTTACTCCCCATATGTGCCCACGTCTAGGATCAGGCAAAGGAAAGGCAGAGGGAGGAAAAAACCAACAGAGACTCATCCCACCTCTTGGGAGGGACCATGGCTGCCACCCTGACTCCATGGCCCTGTCGCTCCACTGCTGCCACCATGGGGTGGCCTGGAGTTGGGTGTAGAACAGAGAAAAGAGCAAAACTCTGGGCCTGCTCCCATCTTCTCTAAGCATACGGCTCCTTGGGCCCTTCCTACACCTTCTCTAGAAGCTCCCTGTCAGGCGTGGGCCAACCTGCAGGACTGGGCTACCATGAAGCCAGGGCAGCAGATGCTGAAGGAGGAGAGCGGCTAACCACTGTCCTGCTCACCTCCCCAACCTGCCAGCTGTCATCTGCTGCCCAGAGCCCTGTGTCAGGGCTGCCTGCAAGGAAGAGAGCTTTCTCCACCCCACTAGCCAGCACAGAGTCCAAATGTCCTTTCTACTGTTCACCTCATCAGAAAGGACTTGTCTCACAATGAACAATCCAAATGAAATTAGATAAGCGATTCTTACTAGAGCATCAAAAGAATAAAGTTCTTTAGTACAGGCTTAACCAAAGAGGTGAATGACTTAGACCCTGAAAACTGACAGAAGGAAAACACACACACACACACACACACACACACACACACACACACACACACACGCCTGAAAGATATCTGTGTTCACGAACTGAAAGACAGTGCTGTTAAGATGCCAGTTCTACCCAAGCAACCTACAGACTGAATGCCTGTCAGAAGAGCAGCAGCAGCATTTCTGCATGCCTTAACTTCCTATGGAGTCGCAAGGGATACAAAAATAGCCAAAACAATCTTGAAAAGAACAAAACTGGAGGACTCACAGTTCCTGACTTCAAAATCTATCACAAAGCTATGATCACCACAATAGTGTGGCGCTTGCATACAGACAGACAAATGAATGGAATAAAATAAAAAGCCCAGAAACCTACCTTTACATGTGTGGCCAAATACTTTGGACAGGAGTGCCAAGAACATTTGATGGGGAGAGGACAGTCTTTTCAACAAATGGGGCTGGAAAAATCAGGTATCTACATGCAAACAAAAGCCACATACCAATATAAACCCCAAATCAGACTGAAACATAAGAGCTGGGACCACAAAGCTCTTAGAAGAAAATAGTACAAAACCTTCATGATATTAGATTTCATAATAATTTCTTGGTGAGGACATCAAAAGCATAAGCAAAAAGTGAAAATAAACTATAAGCAAAATTTAAAATTTCTGTACAGCAAGAGACATGATTAACAGAGTGAGAGGGCAACATGGACTGGGAGAAATATCTTTTGAACCATACAATTGGTAAGGGGTTAATATAGAGTATATAAAGAACTCTTACAACACAACAAAATCCAAGCAACTCAACTGAAAAATGGGCATAGGATTTGCACACACATTTCTCCAAAAAAGATGTACCAATGGCCAGCAAGCCATGAAAAGGTGATCACATCACGGCTGTGGATGGATGAGGTCTGCTCCCAAGGGCTCACACGCTGGGGCTTGGTCCTCAGTGTGATGCTGCTAACAGGTGGTGGGCCTTAACAGGTGGGGTCTGCGGGAGTCCTGAGGTCACTGGGGGTATGCCCTCAGGAGGGATTAGGAACCGGTTCCTATGGAACCCCAGCCAGTCCTGGTCAGTTTCTGGTTTCTTGCCTCTCCACAAGGTCCCTCCCTGTTGTACACGCTCCGCCAGCATGATGCCATCCACCATGAGGCCTTACCACGACGGAGCAGGTGTGGTGCCATGCCCGTGAGCTTTCAGGGCTGTGTTCTAAATAAGAATCTTTAAAAAATAAAGTACCCAAACTTAGGTATTTCATTTTAGTCACATAAAATAGTTACCAATCATGAGGGAAATGTGAATCAAAACCACAATGTAATACCAACCCATGCCCATTAGGGTAGCTATGATTTTAAAAAAAAAGAAAAAAGAAGTTGGTGAACTGTTGACAGGAAGGCAAAATTGTTCAGTGACTCTTCAAAAAATTAAAAATAGAATTACCATATGACCCAGCAATGATACTTCTGGATATATACCACAAGAGTTGAGAGCAAGGTCTTGAAGACATATTGTACATCTATGTTCACAGCAGCATTACTCACACCAGCTGAGAGGTGGGGGGAGCCTGAGTGTCTGTGGATGGGTGAGTGGAGAAACAGAGTGAGACCTAGACACATGCTGCAGGACGGATAAACCTTGACGGCATCGTGCAAAGTGAAATAAGCCAGTCACAGGAAGAAAATTAATGAACGGGGCTGGGGATGTGGCTCAAGCGGTAGCGCGCTCGCCTGGCGTGTGTGCGGCCAGGGTTCGATCTTCAGCACCACATACGAACAAAGATGTTGTGTCCGCCGAAAACTAAAAAATAAATATTAAAAAATTCTCTCTCTCTCTTTCCCTCTCTCTCTCTCTCACTCTCTCTTAAAAAAAAAAAGAAAATTAATGAACGATCCCACTTACATGAGATCAAATGAGAGACAGAAAGAAGAAAGGTGGGTGGCAGGGACTAGGGCAGGGGAGCAGGGAGTCATTCATGGTGAGAGTTCCAGTTGTGCGTGATGAAGAGTTCTGGAGGTGGCAACCAACAGTGAAAGTTCCTAATGCCCTGGACTGTGCACAGAGAAGTGGTTAAGACACAAAATTCTAAGTCACATACATTTTACTGTAATTAAAATGAAAATACATTTTAACAAAGGATAGTGGCATGGACACCTGCACAGGCAGGGTAGGAAGTGCTGGTCTGAGCTTTCAATCCATGGTCTAGCCCCCACACTGAGCCCACTACCTGGCCTCTCTGGGGCTCGATTCACCGAGCTGTGAAGCAGGCCGGCTTGAGCCCCTTCAGTGCTTCAACTTGAGGAAATAAAACCATTTCCTTTGCTTTTCGTTCATTGTTCCTTTCTTGAGACTCCTTCTTCTCCCCTTCCACGGACGGGGCTGATGTGCTGTGCTGACTGTGCTGAACACGCAGCCCCTCAGCATGGCAGCTCCAGGCAAGACTGCCCTTAGGCTACTTGTCACAGTCCCATTCTTGAGTCAGGCGTGCAGAGCACCGCCTCAGGAACCCCCCTCCAGGGTTGGATGCGGCTTGTGTTACATGTTCTTGGCTATCTATTCATGCCTTTGCTGATAAAAACAAGGGCTTGACCTTGCCAGTCCTTCTGGAGGTTCACTCTGCCCGGGGCTGCGAGGCCCACACCTGCTCCCCACTGCACACCCAGTACATGGTGCCCAGCTGCTCTGTGGCCTGCTTCCACCATGTTTTATGTCTACTCTCTTCCAGGAAGGAACACTGAGATCCCTGCTGCACCCACACCCACAGGACCCAACCGGCGTGTGCTGTGCTGTGTGTGGGGATCTCACCCCTCAGAGATGCCTGACCCACAGGCCACGATCTTGGTGACTCTCCAGCCCTGCCTGTGCGCCCTCTGGTGGGTCGTCTGGGAGCCTCCGGTTTTTGCAGATCTAAGCTGCACCAAGTGGCGTAAAGTCCTTCTAGTTTTCATGTCTCATTTTCTCTTCTGTAGATTATCTTTCAGGTACATTCCTATTTTTCTTCAGAAGCTATAGTGCATGTTAGTTTCCTGTTGCTGATGTTATAAAGCACAAATTTAATGGCTTAACACAATACAAATGGATGCTCTCACAGTTCTAGAAGTCAGATGTCTGACATAGACCTCGCTGGGCTAGACTCCAGGGTCTGCAGGACTGTGTTCCTCCTGAAGGCCCTAGGAGAGCCTGCAGCACCTAGAGGCCACCCCTTTTCCACCTTCAAAGCCAGCAACTTGACACCTTTAGATGTGACTCTGACCTTCTGCCCACTCTTCCACATGTGAAGGACCTAAGCAGGATCATCTCACATAAAGGTCAACCTGGCTCACAGCCCAAGCCCTCTGCATGCTATCCCTGCTATGCAAGGATCAGGACATGGGCACCTGTGGGACTATTCTGTCCCCATCCCCAGAATGGGGGCTTATTTAGACTTCCATGTGTGCTCAAGATATTGACGCCTTCTTAGTTTCAGACTCCCCAAACATCTTCTCCTTTTTCTCATTATTTTCCCCCATGGAATCCTTCTTTAAAATCTTTTCTTTTTCTTTGGTGGTACTGGGGATCAAACTTAGTGCTTTGCCATTGAGTCACATCCCCAGCCTTATTTATTTATTTATGATTGGCACAGGAACTTGCCAAGTTGCTGAGGCTGTCCTTGAACCTGCTGAGGCTGCCTCCTGAGTTGTTGCTTTTTTGAAATCTTTAATTTGGTATAACTCAACTTACCAAACTTTTGCTATCATTTTTGCTTTTTTGTGTTATTTATAAATTCCTTTTTACATCCCAGGTAATAAATGCATTTAAGCTTTTTTAAAATCAATTCCATGGTTTTCACCTTTTGCACTTAGGTCTCCATCTGATTCGATGCAGACAGCACACTGTTTGGTAACCTTGACTCTAGACCCTTTGGGCCTTCTGGCTTCAGTCTTCTCTAATGCTGACAAAACTCATCTCAAATCTCCAGAAACCTCTGGATTTTCATGTTCAGAAGTAAACTTCTAAAGGTTTACTGAGTTCTTCAAAATCCACCTGGAATTTTGATTGCGGTCCCAATGTGTTTGTGAATTGAGTAAGGAAAACCAACACATTTATGTTATCAACTCTCCCAAGACAGGCTGTGAACATCTCACTCCACTCTTGTCCTCCAAGTCCTTCTTAGAGCATTTAGCTTTTGCCGCAGTGTTCTGTGCACCCTCACTTGGGTTAACTTCCGGACACCTCATGGGTTCTGCTAAACTAGTCTGTTTGTCCTAGTAGGTTTTGATTTTCTTGACTTTTCTACAACAGATCATCACACTTGTTTGCAAAGAATGCCAGTGTTACATCTACCCTCCGTATTCCTGTGATGGTCCCTGCACATGAGGAAGGCTCACTGTGGTGGCAGAGCTCACCCTGGCCTTGTTGCTGACCTTGGGTGAAGGCATCTAACATTCTCCACCAAGACAGCATTTGTGGTGTGATGGGTTCCTGGGCCAAGGCTGGAGCTCTACTCTCCTGGTTTGTTAGGAGCTCTTGCCATTGACGGCATGGACTTCATCACCTGTGCTGCATTAGTTGAGTTAAGCCTGGTATTATTCTTTACCAGTCCACTTAACTAGTGAATAGCACAAAGATTGTTTGAAATCTTATGGTGGACCCTATTAAATCACAATATCTTCTTTATTTGTTTTAAATGTACTTTGATTTTGACACATTCATATCTCATATTGGATTTTTAGGCATAGTTCCAATAACCTGGGCTTGCTCTTTCTTTGTAAACATTACATGATATTGGAGTTGAGATCGGTTTGTATTGGTCTGAGTGCTGGGGCTCTCCTTCTCTGCTTTCTGGGATGGCCTATGTGAGTTAGAAGCCTTAGAGGTCCTTAAAGCTGGGTACAACTATCTGTGACACACACGAGTGAGGCCTTTTGTGAAAGGCAAGTCTTTGATAATAATTTAAATGTGTACTGGCCCACTCAAGTTCTCTCTTTCTTCTCAAGTCTATTTTGGCACTGTAACTTTCCTGGGAAGTCATCCGTTCTTTCAAGTGTTCAGTTGTGCTGACGTGTGGCCATTACAGTACTGCAAGCCTTCTTCTCAGTTGTCATTCCTTATTTTTGTGCCTTTGATTCTTATCAGTATCACCCCTCCATTTTCTTGAACGCTCTTATCAGAGGGCTAACTACTCCTTAAGAGAACACCAGCTTTTAGCTCTGCCATTTTCTTTCTTTCTGCGTCCCCCATTTCATTGATTTCTGCCCTTTCCTACACCAGGCTTGGGAAAGCCACAGGGACCACAGCCACAGGGTGGCATCAGGTGGCATAAAAGTACCCCTCCTAATGCTGCCCTGCCCTGGGCTCTAAGGACCCAATCTCAGACACCCCCCAGGGGCCTCAGCACCCAGAACAGTCTTCTGCTCAACATTCAGGGCTTCCCTCCTAGTTCTCCAGCTTCCCAGGGCAACTCTGGGTAAGTGGCCATGGGCAGACTGGGACGTGAGGGTGTGCAACCACAACCAGCCCATGGATGCTGGAACGAGGGACCCTTCCCCCAAAGTCCTACACAGCAGAACCTCAGGGCCCATCAAGAACCAAAGCAGGGAAGGATGCGGGACTGTGCCACTTCCGGCAGCTGCATTCCTCAGGGGTGAACTTGGCTCCGTGGCCCACGTCCCTGATGAACAAGCAAGCACACAGAGGGGACTTCACAGCAACTCACCTTCCCCCATAGGCAGGCTCTACGGTTCAGGGCAGGTCCATAGATGTGAATGCCAGGTGCACTGGGCTCAGAGCATCATCTCCAGAACGGGGAATCTGCAGAGGGCTGGCTTGTCAGTGCCCGCCTACCTGAAAGACAAACAGGAGCACGTGAGCTCCAGTGCCTGGTCCTGTCCTTAGGACAGGCTTTGGTAATCATTTCTTGCATTCGACAGAACAGTGCCCATCTCTGAAGCATTCGAGTCCGAGACCTGTGTGAGGAGACGTGTGTCAGCAGAGCTGGCCCCAAGAATGCTGCCTGGTGTAGCCCAAGTAGCAGTGCTGTACTGGGTGGTGTCCACCTCACAGTGGGTGACCCAGGAGAAATATTTTGACAGATCATATAAATGTTCTACTTATGTTAGGGGTTTTATCTGTGTACACCCTAACTTTGAAATGACAGTTATTAAATGAAAATTAATTTAAGTACATCGCTGCGTCCCACTTTCACAGCCAGTGAGATAATTCCCTTCAATCTCTCCAACCCCAGCCTGCAACTCTGCCCTCGGGAGTCACCCTCGGCACAACCTAGTGCTTCTCCACAGCGTCTCATTGTCAACTCAGTTTATACTTTGACTTTTGTGCTTTTAAAATTCAGGTTTGCTGCCAACACTGGAAACTGGATTCCCAGCCACAAGCACTCACTTCAGAACACCATCCTCCTTGCTGCATTTGGTCATCTGCTCCACAGGTGCATACTTATGGTCCCCACAGACCACTGCCGTGGGCATCCTAAAGGCACACTGACTACAGTGTCCAGCACCTGGAACTGTGATCAGTGGTAATCAGAGCCCATGCTGAACGACAGGGCCTTCCTTGTGAGCCACATGGCAGCCATCAATGGTTCTCCCTGAAGTGGTTTCCCTAGTATGTCACATCCCACCACAGCAGGAGCTTTCAAGTGCAGAAAACAAACAAAAAAACCCCAATGCAAGAAGATCCCATGAGGGATGAGGCTGAAGGAAACCCCTCTCCCTCCTCCCTCAGCAGGGAAGGCTGCCACACTGGTGCAGCAGAGGGCTGGGAGTGCCACTGGCTAGAGGGTGGGAGACCACAGCTGTAGAGCTGGGCCCTGAGCTCCGCGTGTGGGACATACCAAAGCCACTGATGCACACTTTAAGAGAGTGGACTTATGGCACATGAACGACATCTCAATTAAAAATCTAAAAAACACACACAAGGTAATACTCAAAAGTTAAGGAAAAAAGAGAAAACAATGCAAGACACCTCCTGTTAAAAGTCTCAGATTTCACAGGCGTGCGTCTCCTCCCTACAGAGAACAGGGAAACGATCCTGACAAAGAGGCACACACCTCAGGAGCTCAGCAGATGGGAGAGGAGAACAACCGGGTGGCCAACAGAAGGCAGCCGGGAGAGGGTGAACCAGCAGTGAGCAGGTGGGACGACAAAGGAAGCTGGGACCCGAGCCCACGAGGAGAGGCCCGGGGACCACCACTGGTCTGCATGAGCAGGAGCACCAAGGGAGCCTGGCTGGGGAGCCTCAGGACTTGCAGTCCTTGGCCCTCTCTGTCACTAGCGGAGGGCCTGGAGGCCCCTTCTCTCAGGTGGCACACTCAGGCCCCGAACTCACGACAATGAACGTTTTAGAGATGAAGAAGTGTCAAAAGCTGGGGTGAGTGTAGCAACAGGCTGCACATGGGGCCTTCCGTCCCTTGTCCAATGGCCTCAGAATTCTGTAGCCAGGATGGTTTTCTCACCAGAAGAACTGAGAATCCACTTGTCAATAAAATATGAGGCAAGAGAAAGGACACACCAATTCTGTATCTGGAAGACCCCAGAGTTAAATGGCCAGATCCCTGTGTGCTCTGCCAATGGCAAAACCACAGTGGAAAGGAGCAAGCCCTGCCAGGTCACAGCAGCAGAACACACTGATCCACACCCTAAGAAGTGAGGTTCCACCCAGAAGTACAAAAATGGAGCAGTTGACCTCAGGGGTCAACACACCGACTGCAGGAAATCCACAGGAAGGGCACAGAAGGGTGTGACACTGAGATGACGGTCTTGGGACAAGTGCTTCAGAGCAGGAAGAGAAATGGGAGCTGGGGTAGAAAAGAGAAGGGTTCAGGAAGAACGGACTTGAGCTTCCCACAAAAATAAAGGAACACTGAGGCATCAGAAGGCACACTGATTAAATCCCAGCTCCAAAAATACAGTTTTAAAACAATATAAATACTGCATTTGCTGACCAGCAGAAAAAGGATGCTCCTAGAAAAGAGCCAGTAAGGGATGGGGTTGTTGTTCAGCAGCAGAGCACTCGCCTAGCATGTACAAAGCCCTGGGTTCCATTCTCAGCACCACATAAAAATAAACAAACAAAATAAAGGTATTGTGTCCAACTACAACTAAAAACTAAGTAGAAAGAAAGAAAGAAAAGAACAAGTAAGCCCAAGCCTCATCCCTCAACCCACCCTTCCCTGCTACAGCTGGTGCAGGAAACTGTGTGCTTTTAAAAGAGAGAAAATAGGCACAGAAAATCCTTTGTGGCACAGGATTGCCTCAAAGTGAACCCCATCAGCAATGACGGAACCCCACGGCAAGGTGGGGAATGCCAATCAGCATTCCAGGACGGAGGCAGAAGCAGATGTGAGATCACTAGAGCAAAGACCTACAACACTGTAAAATGCAAATGGAGCGCTAAGGCAGACAAAAGTGGGAGCTGCTAAACAAAATCTAAGCAGAACTGAAGAAACGGACAAGGCCTGTAAATAAAGACTGTTATAGGGCCCAAAGGGGAACCGTTCAATTGACTGTACAGGGAGCACTGGAAGCCATCCAGAGAAAATGAGGCAGAGCAGGTAGCAGCCATCAAAGAGAAGTGGTCAGTACAGAGCACCAGGCAAGAAGTGAAAGCCGTGAAGGAGAGCCAACACTTAAATCAACTCTTACCAAAGTTTTAGGGGAAAAAGACTCACAGTGAGAAGGTTTATCCCACACCTGTGCAAAGTGGCCCATGGTGGTGGCCTCCAGACAGGCACGGAGACCAGTGAGACAGAGAGAGGGTTCTCTAGCACGGAGTGCAGGCAGAGGAGCAGCGCACTCGGCTTAGGCAAGGACTCCGACTCCACAGGCCAGAGGGGCCATGCCTTCACAAATCCCTGAAGACAGCATGGCCGCAGGGCCTCCTCTCAGTCAGACAGGCCTTCAAAGCCAGAGCTTTAGATATTCAAAATCATAAGCAATGCCAATGCCGTTGTCATGGGCTTTGTGAGAAGTCTGCTAAAAGACAAGCTTCTGCAAACCAAGAAACACCTGAAACAAGAAACAAGTTTGGTAGAAATAAGAAAAATCCTTTGTGGATCAAAGGCTGAAATAAAAACTGGGGTGATAATAGAAAGATTTTGGGGAGAGCTGTTCTTAAAAGCAAATACAATATGGGAAGCAGAGGTGGATAAACAGGAAAGAAAGGGGAGCAGAGAAGCTCACGGACCATGGCATGGGGAAGAGGTGGGAGACAGCAGTACCTCCAAGCTGGCAGCAGGGAGAAAGGTTAAGGAATAGCAGCAGGGGCTCGGGCCCACAGAAGGTGGTATTTAGCCAGGACTCTGTGCCTGCCAGTCCTGAACCCACAGCTCATGACCATAGGTGAAAAATATTCAGAAGAGACACTATCTTTATACTGGGCACAGACAGCCTTTCTTCCTCTAAGCAATACTGTGTAACAACTAACTATCCACATGGTGTTTATGCTGCACTTGTGCCACAAGTAACCCTGAGACACGTAAAGTGTATGCGAGGCTGTAAGCAGATTCTATGCAAATGCTGAGCTGTGTTGCTCAAGTGACACAGGCACGTGTGGATTTGGTATCTGTGGGTCCTGGGACTAATTTTCTACAAATGCAGAGGAACAAATCTAGACGGAGGTAAGAAGCCAAACTGTGCAAGTGAACAGAGCAGACAAAGGTGCAGAGGAGTCCAGATTAATCACCATCTCCTTATTCTTGCCACATGGAGCTCTCCAGCCAAGCTGAAGGCTCTCCTGGTGGGTACCCTGCAATACTGATGGAGGGAGTGGCAGAGAATGTACCCGGGGGTCCCTTCATTCCAAGTTGGGCACACATGGGGCCACATGAAGGGGTTTGGCAGGCAGGGCACCCCCAGCCCAACCATCCAAATTATAGAGAGTCCTTAGGTCTGGGATGCTCTCAGGGCTCTGACAAAGTGTCAATGGTCAACATAATCAAGCACAAGGCTTCCCTGAAGTGGGGGCACTTGAGAGGGCTAAGCCTTTACTACATGCAGCAGTATCCCTCCATTTCAGAGGGACAGGCCAGCCCAACTGAAATAGCATGGTCATGTGCACACTGAGACAACTGTAGGTGGGCTGCAATTTGAGACAGAAACCCCAGGAAGTAAGACCAGAAAAGCCAAGGGAGGGAGATAAACACAACTCAACTACTGGCTCACAGGCCCTGGCGAGGGTGCACCTGGGTACTGAGGGCATATGGCAGGAGGGTGACCCTAGGGAGCAGTGGAGCTGCATCTAGACGGAGATAAGAAGCCAAACTGGATATGTGTTTGTGCAAGCCTCAGAATGGGGGCAGTGCAATCCATAAGAAGCAGAGCTGCAAGAGGGTTTCAGAAGGGCTGGGGCTGGGGCTCAGTGGCAGAGCGCTTGCCTGGCATGAGTAAGGCACTTGGTTCAATTCTCAGCACCACATATAAATAAATAAAAGGTTCACTGACAACTTCTTAAAAAACTTTTTAAAAAAGAGGGTTTCAGAAGAGCCATGCTGTTATTATGGTATGTAGATATGTGCTTTCTGGTGCTAGTGCAGGTACAGGCTGAGGTGCAAAGGGAAGGACAAGAGGTCAGAGGGGAGCTCTGGGATGACGAGCACTGATTGTGCATGTGTGGTGAGGAGGCACACAACTAGGGGCATGCAGGAGAATGAAGGGACAGTGGCCACAGTGCAGTCAGGAGACTGGGACTGTGTGTGATGAGACAAACCAGCCTTCATCCATCCGACGGGAGATGTTTACACACGTCTGTCTCTCAACTGCAGTCCACAGAGGTGTAGCCCCCAAGGTAATGGCAATATAGAATATAAGAACAACACCAAACATGGTAAT